CCATATAATCAAGAAACAAATTAAAGGATTCAGCTTGAATAGTACTTATCTGTTAGAACTGAAGTTGAATATCATATGTTGATAAAAGTTGATGAAGAAAACAACGCTGTTGCTATGGTAACCAAGAAGGGAAAATGTTCAATTTTGTGAACTTTATATCAATATTAAACCCTGTGTGCCAACTTCTTGCATCCAATTAGAGATTGGATGATAGTCAAAATTAAAAGTCAGGTTAGCTGTTAATAAATATCAATCATAAAAGTTTTGGGAATCTACATATAAGGGTACGTATCCAAGGAAAGAAAATATTTTTCAGGTTTTTAAGCATATATTTTCTGCTTATCTCCATAGCAACGCTCTATTTAAAGAATCTAATCTGAATTTTTTCAAATGGGAAAACTAGGACACACCAACATCTTTAAAAATTGATCATTAGTTATGAGGAAATGTGCTTTTTTAAAAGATAGGTTCAGATTTAAACAAACAGAGTGTTACTTTGAAGGCTCTCTGTGGTATAAAAACCTTGGCAACCATTGCCAACCAAAATGAAATATCATATTTTGTTCTTGGTATATGTTTCAAGGCTCTTTTTTCTATTATTTGGTCACATTTCATCCTATAATTGTTTTTTATTTTTACGTGTATGACTTTATATAATTCAATGAATATTTTTTTTTACTTTTGAATACTTTGTTACCATAGTAACGTATGTAATAGTTGATTTACCAAACATGTTTATCATGCATTTGAGACATCTGACCTTCAACTTTTGGAAACAGTCATTGCCAATTGTTTGCTTTGCCGCAAATGTTAACTATGGGGTTCTAAACATGTTAAAAAATGCCATTTTTCGAACTTTAAGACATGTTGCCATGGTAACTATAAAACATAGCAACCAATTTTTGCCTGATTTCAGTTCAGGGTATCAATGACTTTTATCATAGAGAGTTTGGAGAAATTCTGAGACTATGCGTGCCACAGCTCCTATATAAAATTCCAAATCATTACAGAGAATGGCTCTTAATATGAAGCTTCCAACTAGAACAAAAATGCCATTTTTCCTAATATTCAGAGACATATCTATATTTAGCCACCTGATACTAAAAATAGAAAGGGGAATTCTCATCAACAATTATCCATACCGCCTAGTGGTATCCAGATCTTGTCATTAACATCTAAAATTTTACAAAAGATTTCCTCATTATGCAGCAACTACATCTAAAAATGCATGAAAAGGTGCAATAATCTACATTTTCTTAATTATTCGAGTAATCTACTTTTAGACCATTCTTGCCATAAAATGAAACAAGAGTTCATCCTCAATATTGTGGCAATTTTTGAACAAACACATGTACATTCTGAAAGCATATGGTAGAAAGCTTTATATTTGTTAGGTTTTTTATATGAAGCTTCCAATTAGAACAAAAATGCCATTTTCCCTAATATTCAGAGACATATCTATATTTAGCCACCTGATACTTAAAATAGAAATGGGAATTCCCATCAACAATTATCCATACCGCCTAGTTGTATCCAGATCTTGTCATTAACATCTAAAATTTTACAAAAGATTTCCTCATTATGCAGCAACTACATCTAAAAATGCATGAAAAGGTGCAATAATCTACATTTTCTTAATTATTCGAGTAATCTACTTTTAGACCATTCTTGCCATTAAATGAAACAAGAGTTCATCCTCAATATTGTGGCAATTATTGTACAAACACATGTACATTCTGTAAAAATATTATAGAAAGCATTATATTTGTTAGGACTCTTTATATGAAGCTTCCAATTAGAACAAAAATGCCATTTTCCCTAATATTCAGAGACATATCTATATATTTAGCCACCTGATACTAAAAATAGAAAGGGGAATTCCCTTAACAATTATCCATACCAGCAAGTGGTATCAAGGTCTTGTCATTAACATTTCAAATTTTACAATATACTTCCTAAGTAATCAGCAATCACATCTTTAAAGTGCTTTAAAAGGTGCAATAATCTACATTTTCTCAATTATTCGAGTAATCTATTTTTAGACCATTGGTGCCCTAAAATGAAACAAGAGTCCATCCTCAAAATTGTAGTAATTTTTGAACAAACACATGTACATTCTCAAAGCATATTGTAGAAAGCTTTATATTTGTTAGGACTTCTTATATGAAGCTTCCAATTAGAACAAAAATGCCATTTTTCCTAATATTCAGAGACATATCTATATTTAGCAACCTGATACTAAAAATAGAAATGGGAATTCCCCTCAACCGTTGTCAATACCAGCTAGTGGTGTCCAGCTCTTGTCATTTAAATTTCAAATTTTACAACATACGTTCTAATTATGCAGTAATGACAATTAAAACTTTGCCAAAATTTGAAATTTCACATTTTTCTAAAATATATCTATATATAGATACATGTTGCTAAAAATAGGAGCAAAAGCCCACTTATGTTTTTTCATGAAATGACACTACTTATTCCCAAGTATAATTACACACATAAGATTTGGGAAATTTCCGCGGACAATTTTTCTTATTTAGCCTCAAAGATCTCAAAAAATTCCAATTTCCCCATTTTTCAAATTTTTAGAAACCATGTCATTTTGCATGACCTTTTTCTTACAGGAAGAATATTTCTAGAATAAACGATTATATGCTCTGTGTACCTTAAAAGGTCATGTTATCAAATGATCCAATAATTTTTGTTAGAGTGTATTAGATACCGATAAATATTCATTTACATTTCCTCAATTTTCATGTTTTCATTTAGTCAAAATGGGCCAAAAATTGCCGAATTCAATGGATCTGTCTCCATGGCAACCAAGTGCACGTGTGGAACTTCCGACACCATATTTACTAGTTTTGTGCCAAGACACACCTATGGTGAAAATTTCATCAAAATCCGAGACATGTCGTTTCCAAGCCCTATAGTAAATTCGTTGGTGCTTACAGAGAATGCGTGTTAATGCCTTATTTCTTTATTCCAGAAAGCCCGAATCTGGATCTGAGTGGATCATCATGATTAAAAGCTGCCAAGGAGACAGTTCTGATTTCAATAAAATATTTTCTATATAATATTAGAATAGTAAATAGAAAATGCTCAAACCTACAGCTTAATTTATTTGAACCAGTCGTCAGTCATAGGATTTCTCCAGGAAGTTTTTGCAATGAAATGTTTATTATTACTTACTGTGGTCCTGCCCACCCTTCCAAAAGTTTCCCACTTCGAACTCTCCAGGATACATGAATGCAATTCTTTTTCCTTAAGCAGGGGAAACCGATTCTCTGAATTTGCTTGCATTTATGAACGTGTATTGATAAAACCTTAAATAAGAATTGGACAATATTTAAATTTTCAGATTCTGTGAAATCGGATATTATCCAAATACTGTATACAGGGAAATTTTCGCCCCTTTCGCCCTACCCTCAATTGGGCGAATTTAAAACGGGGTGAAATGAAATAATACAGTATAATTTTTTAAATAAAACTATGATTGGGCGAATTTAAATCGGGGCAAAATTGTTTGCAAGTGTGAAAGGGCGAAAATTAAACGGGGCGAAAATAATCCTGTATACAGTATATTATTTGTAACAAACTTGGAATATATGTTGATCTTTACGTACATGTAAAAGATCTCGCGGCATTATCGTTGAATCATTAACTAAACACTGATGCCCCTTATGGCAGCTAATAGCAAAGGTTTAAATTTCTCAATGAAAGTCAAACCTTCAGGTCAAGGTCAAGAGATGAAAAATGCTACCCGTGGTATATGAAAACCCAAACACCAACCGTTATAAAGAGTTATTGCTTAAGGGAGCCGACTGGGGTATTGTGAGAACTACGATAGAAAAACTATTTATTTTCATACCATATATAACTTACATTGACTTCAGAGTACATGTCTTGTTTCCAGAGGGGGCATCTCAAAATGTCAAAAATTAACGAATTTTCCTGTTTTTATTCTACTATTCGACGGATACAGAGGATTTTAACAAAAAAGTAATAAAAATGGTGGAGAGATTCTCAAGTTTCTATGTTTTAAATTTCAAGAGCATATGTTCATAACTGTTATTTTATAACATTTTTATTACCCCTTCTTTAAAGAGCTTCACGTTATCATGACGTCAAAAACACTACAGTGACGTCAATCTAACCCATCAATTGAAAAATAGTTTTAAAAATCAGTTATATAAAATTCTAATTAAATTTTTTTATCCTTTGATTTCTTGATTTTTTAAATTTTTTTAATCAAGTGAAAAAAATTGCGTTATAGTAAATGCGCTTTGTTTTACTATGATGCGCGAAGTATTGCGCAGCGGAAACCCCAGTCAGCCCCCTTAAGTTTAAATTTTTAAGCGTTAATCGGATTTCAAGGTCAAAATTTATAATTCCGATGTTAATAATGGTGAAAGTATTTCTTTAAAAAGTAGATCAAATGATCAAATTGTTGTTTTCCAAAGGAAGGCCACTGCACAAGGAATACATCTGTGAAATATGAAAGTCCTACTCTAAATATTCAAGTGCTATAACCAAGGTTAAGGTTTGGTAATTTTTTGGAAAAGTGGGTCTAGCTTCAAGGTCAATTAGTTAAATATATCTGTACCCAAAGAAAGGTCCAGGAAGGAATAAAAATGTAAAATATAAAAAATAATAGCTACAACTAATCAAAAAGTATATAGACAAGGATTATTTTTTGGGGGGATAAACAGACAAAGGGATAGGGGAAAAATGCATTTATATAAAAAAGGCGAAAATACATGTATATTACCGCGAATAATTGATAACAGAGTCATAAGTTCATAACCCCCAGGGAACCATATTACTTCAAAGCTCGGGTCTGGATACTGTTATTGGGTGACAATGAATATAAACGCTCCTATAAAAATATATATTAGATTACAGAAAAAGGATTTCATTTTTTGCGGAACTCAAAGTCTTTCGTTAAATTAAGATCTTGTTCTTTTATCTCGAAACCCTCATGCAAAATCTAACACTCGAAGAAAACTTGATAAAAGTGTAAGTTAGAATGGAAGGTTAACACAGATGTCAAAATTATTTCTTTATTCTTTTGTCCCATCGTATATTAACAAGTATACAATTCTGAATTACCTTTCTTTTTTGCCATTCTTTACTCGACGAACGAAAATATGGCTCTGAATACAGATGTATAGGACTTTTAATGCATGTGTATAGATTTAAATTAATTTTAAAGACATTTTGGGATAACAATCGATTCAGAAATTTGATTCACGATTTCACGAGACAAAAATCGGAATGGCAGGTATTAAAATACAAGCATCCAGCTCCTGTTATCAAAATCACTTTCATTGTCGTTGAATGCAATAATTATTCATTGATTAAAATACCTTTATCGTCAAACACAATATTCACAATGCCATTTTTGCTCGCCACAGACAATCAACCCAACGATAGATTCGTTTAAATGCTTGGGTTGTAAAATATCAATGTGATATGCGCAAGCACGGAACGTTGCCTTCTTTAGAATTTAATGGAAATGGCTAAATCTTCCTAAATTTCTTTTCCTCGGATATTTAAATTTACCTACATACATTGTTTTATCGCAATAATGGAAAATCCATGACTTAATACTTTAGTATGAATTTTTAATGTCTTTTTTATTTTGCGACATGCCAGAGTTTTCCTTACTTGTGATTTTTCACCTTGGAAATATCCTTATAATCGCAGGTAGGTAAAAAATAATTGTGTTATCTTTTTAAGTTCTTAAAATTATTTTGTAAATATTATATAGGAATCTGAGGCTCTTATTTTCAATTTTCTTTATTTTCAAGAGCATGTTTATCTAAAAATAATTCTAAAAGAAAAAAGTACAATTTGCAAAGTTTTCGTCCTGAACACAAATAATTCTAAAAGAAAAAAGAATACTATTTTCAAATTTGTCGTCCTTAATACATATCAGCATGACTTTTAGTGAAGATGTGTCAAATTCATTTTTTCACCTAAAACGAGGACCATTGAAGTTTATTGAATAGATGGAATGTAATTTGATGTAAACACTTATTTTTTCCCACCTTGGTGGGCAAATGATTTTATTGTACAATATGCCTCATTGAAAACAAAAATTGAAATCCGTAAAGAAATATTTCTTAAGCTTATGAAAAAGGCGTCAATGGATCATTATAGGTATGCATATCTTGATGCATCATTAGACATATCGTCTAAACCTATTTGTTTCGTTAGTAGGTCTGTAATGTCCCCAAGTAAGCTTTTCGTCGTAAAAAAATGTGCCAAGGTTTTTCTGATTCATTGAAAAGGAAGGTTCTGATATTTTGAAAACGTCCGTTCATCTTTGTGATAAAGAAAAATGTTTCAATCACTAACAATGTGTATGTGTGTCTTTAGCAACCCACAGATCAAAATAACACCACCATCTTAACAATTTATTAGACATGTTTTAGTTATGTTAGTGAATATCATTTGTACCTAAAACAATAAAGAGTTGCATATAGTTTTTTCTTTAAATATTACCGAAAAAATGAATTAGCAAATGTGAATAAGGAACGATGAATTAAAGACGTTTGAGAAATTAAGATGTCCAATACCAACTAGTATGTAAAGAAATTTCATTTGTAGACGTTCTTATTATTTCAGAAAGCTTGTGTACTCTACCAGATGAATTAGATGGCGTATGGTACAGTGCTCAGAAAGGACCACTGACGATTAACTCCACACACATTCAAGGCTACCCTATCCACATGTCTGCCAGCGTTAGCTCCCTAGATTACGAATGTATTGAACAGCGGGACAGAATATATATGTTCAGGTAAGTTTTTTTTTTCTTTTTACTACAAAACATTCTTTTTAAAATTTGTATTTTGTGCTTGAATTTTAATCGGCAATACATGTATATCATCACTACTGAAACCTTATTTTACCGTTAACATAATCAATTTATTTTAATCATGTATGATTCTCTTGTTAATAGATCTACTGAGACTGTCCTTATATTCGGGGGACTGGTAAACGGCTTTATTTGTTTAGAATTCTGGAGGGTTTCTGCCACAAAGTATTACTACTTTCACAAAACAGGTATGTGTTTTCAATACAATTTATAACGGTAATCGATTCGATTCTATAGGAATGTGTAATAAATCTCGTCTGCTTTTTGAATATGTCAATGATGTAGTTAATTTTTAAAAATTAATTTAAAAGGCAAAATACTGATGTAAATGTTCGATTTCTTTACTCGCTCTTCGGCTCATATGACTTATCGTGATGCTTTTGTCATTTATGCATCGGTGTAAAAATGGACCATTAAATATGTAATGATCGCCATTCAAATATGCATTACTAAAATTGTTAGTTACGTGAACTGAAAGAAATCGCAGATTTTTCTACCTCCGTTTCATGTTCGGATGTTTTTACTTAAAATGATAAGGACCAAATAACATGGTCTTTACTTATCCCAATCATTCAATATACAAAAATAGGCTCCAAGTACGATCAATTTTTAAACTGAGGCAGTCTACTGACTGTAAGCTGATGTTACAGATTTAGAGTCAGAATTTCGAAAATTCAGTATAATGGCAATGTTATCAAATATTATCTATAAAGTTCAGCTTTCATTCCTTGAATTTAACACTCCTCTGACAACACTGAGCTTGTTTTTTTTTGACAGATAACACAATACATGTTTCTTCTAAAAAATGCCATTTATTATAAAATGACCACATATAATATAATACATAAAACTGAATAAAAAAGACTGCATGGAGACAATGTATTTTTAAAAAAACAATTCATGGGGAAAAAATTCAACAATTATGCAAGAACAAATTGGCCTCCCAGTATGTGACTATTACATATCGCATAATATTTATAAATTTGCAAAATATGTGGCTTAAAAAATGTGGCCAAAATTTATCTATCACATGGCCGTATAAAACTGACTTGTTTCATACTAATTGATAAGTCTGTTCTTATTGTGTCATTGACAACGGAAGGCTCTGTCTACCTGTTCCAGGGATCCATATTCTTGTAGATTTCATAGATTTTTAAAGATTCATCACTATTCATTATGTTCACCTTTTTCATTATAGATAGACATTTCAGGGACTTTGACTTTGAGTTTCATTCTGAGGACATAAGTATTTATTTCAGAAAGTACAGCTAGTTTCCATTTGATTTTTTGTAGCCATCAGTCGGACCAATAATGATCATATCAGAGGAGGATTTAGCGGGCAAAGTCCAACCTTCGATGTGACATGCAGCGAGTCATATGACACGACATACTTTGTTACTTTAATAAAAGATGGTATATATTATATACAATACTTTTATTTAAATAAATGACGTTAATTTCCAAATTAAAAAATAATTTTGATGATTATAATAATAATAGATCGTGAAAAACAAACAATCCCACCAATAAACAAACAACTGTAATGCATGAAATGTTAATTTCAGACCAAATTTCATAGCGTAGTGTACTTTTTATTGAATTTAAAGATGGCGTGATACTAGTTTATAGCATTATAGTTTATAGTTTAATTTAATATTGAATTCGAATAATTAAATATTACTTAAATTTACACATATACACACACTCTCAAATTTTATCAAAAGTAAAAAATAGAATAATATGAAATAAAAATAAGTTAGAGGATAGAACCCTCTAAAAGTAAATCGCAAGAATATCGCCCGGGGCGGTTCATTTGGATCATCCATTCAAATACCATTTCAAATCTTTAATTATTATTAAAGATCCATCTAAAAAGCCGGGGATTGTACAAAACTCAAAAGAGAGCGCGTAACTAATACAATTATGATTTCATTATAGGTTCAGTAGAGAATGGATCATCGGAAGCTACTTGTGCTACAGACCTTTTGAATAAATTCTCATTGGTTACTATCACCGAACATAATGAAGCTTCCAGTTGTGAAAATAATACAATGGATGGATGTTCTGATAAAACCAAAATGTCTTTTACTTACCATTCTTCATGTCAATCTCAGCACAAATTCTCTGGTACGTACTGGTTTACATTTCCTCATCATTATCAACTTTCAACCATATGGATATACTTTACTTATTTCAATGGCTTCTGATCCCATTTGATGTTTTTGACGAGGTCTGTATTTGCTATTTTTCCAATATGTATGTTATAAATGAACGTTTGAACATGATTACAGTTTGTCGTATTCATGTTTCATTGTATAAATTGTTACATGCTTCTTACAGCGGGAGGATTTTGGACATGCCTAAGAAGCATAACTAGTAATGGTTATACCTATGTCTCGCTCTGGAACAATGACACTACTGTGACTTCTACGTACACCAGATCCTATGAATTGGTCAGAGAACAAACATATAAATTTGCCTGCCTCGTAAGTCTTTTTTGTGAATAAAACAAATAAAAGGAATATTTATATCCCAGCATAGACATAAAATCTTTTCAATTAATTTTACAAATAATGGTCCTTTTCATTTTGATCTGTTTGCAGGTTGTGAAAGGAACATCTGCTACATTATTTCCAAAAATTTGTTCCGATTCTACCCAAACACCGAATTCTGTTGCCTCTCCGGGACTGAAACTTACGTTTTCTGGTGCTGATTCGACCTGTCGTAAGTGATTTTATTAGTTTCAATATACAGGTATAAGGCCTGTAGTTTTACAACATTTGCACTTGTGCTTGAGAACAGATGAAATTTTCCAATAAAATCACAAGGGCTATCAAATCATAATACATGTAAAAGTTAGTTAATTATATAACAAAGATAAAGTTTTAAATTTTTATTTATTTTCAATATAAATTATTTATGATTATATATATTGAAAACCCTATTTGAAGCATATTGTGCTAAAATATAGACAAAGCATCATACTCCAAACTAAAGAAACGTTGTTGTTCTTAAATATACGTTCTGATTTAGCAATGTGTACATTTGATGATATACATGTGATCTATTTATATTTCTTTTTGTTCACAGACATCACGACGGAGGACGAATCTGATATTCTGTACTACGTCATTATTATACTTGGATCTTTATTCATCATATCTTTCATCATTTTGTTAATTATATTACGCAAGAAAGGAAAGAAGTGTAAAAGAAAGCTGGCTAAGTCACGTGCCATTGGATCACATGAAATTATCATGTCTCAACCACCAATAAAAATAGAACCTTTGTATTTAGACGATACTCCTGGAATTCTTCGAGAAAAGACTGATGTATTAAGTATTTTTGAATTCAACACGAAATAGCGTTTCTGATACTTCAAAACGGTGGTTCATACCGTTGTGCTTCCATGCTTGAAGAACAGATTAACAGAACTATATACAAAAAAAGTGCCATGTGTAAGTTGCCCACCGATAATTGCGCCAAGAGCAGTTCTAATTTTCTTTGTTCATAAATATGTTATTAACAATATGCAAGCACGTTATGTGATAATCAGTATTTAACAGTTTTTAAGATGCCCACATGTTGGGTATAAGTTCATGGATCTTGATCATACTGCCATTAATTTACCCTTTTTTTCATAATTATGTGAAAATAAAATTGGTCTAGTCCGTCCTTTGTTATTAGTAGCTTCAACCATGTTGATGACTTTTGGAGTAAAACAAACTTGATCCGCCACAGTTAATAAAGAAGTGCATTCTCAAGTCTAAACTGTTAAAATGCAATTTAATTGGCAATTTGTTACATTTAGTTAAGTTTATAAGCTTTTCTGGATGTTGGTTGAACACACAAATTGACATGTCACTAGGGTTATTTCAATGATACAGCAAGCATTACTCAATACATGCAAAACTCATGTATTTTCAGCTCTGAAGTCTGTGAGTAGTCTGAGGTTCAAAAGAGTTTAAAACATTTTTTTTGTTAAAGTACCTGTATTATTATATATATTTATTTTAACTATATCGGTCATTCAGAATATACAATTACAAACATTTATTAAAACACATTTGTTAAAAATATTATCTATGGTATTTTGGACCATGTTTATTCAAATGCAAGTTTTTCAACAGCAAATGAAGGAAAACGAAATAATTATAGAGTATTTTGTAAAATTTTTACCAAACAAATTTATAATATACCAACAGAAACACAAATCATTCCTTTATGAATATGTAACATTTAGTCATTATTTTACTTGTTCTGTTGCAACAAACTGTAAACCCTTATATTTTATTTTGATCATTCGTACAATGGTATAAAGGTATTGAATATTTGCTTAAATATTCTCTTCATTCATGAACATGTATCATCCAATTTGAATCGTATTTGATCCTTGAATAGTCTTGTATCTTGATATAATGGTTTAAAATTTGGTCAGTTTTGAATAGCTGGTTCATATAATTAGTTAAGACATTATAGTGAATTCATCGAAATTAAAAATCCAGCTTTTTGTAAGGATATGGAGATAACGAACAGTATTCAATATCGAAGTCCATAAAACAATACAAAATGGGAGCAGAGCAAACACGGACCTCCGAAACATCAGAGTAATCATCCTTAATTTCTATCATCATTATTATGTTTTGGAGGTTCCCTGTTCAACTCGAATAGAGAATCTATAATGTACTGTTTTTACTTGTTTGGTTCTTGAATGAGGTAAATTTTAGATAAAAATACTTAGAATCTTTCAAAAGACCATGGCCAACAGGATGCAGTTACTCACATTCTGCAAAAATCTTCATACAGTGTTCTCTGAAATTGCAAAGGGGGATGTGTAGATGATTTTTACAATTATGGCCACTTTTTGAAGCAGTTAGAGTGGAGTTACAAATGGGTTCGAACTTTTATTTAAAAATATTTTAAATAAAATGATTGCGTACAATACAACGGGATAATTTTTAATAAATACGAATGTACAGCAAGATAATGATATTCATGTAGTCCTTATTATAAGCTTTATTTTAATTTGAAGTAATATGAGGATATAGCATTACGTGTCATTAAGAGAGAGAGAGAGAGAGAGAGAGAGAGAGAGAGAGAGAGAGAGAGAGAGAGAGAGAGAGAGAGAGAGAGAGTTGGTCATATGAATGTTCTTTTATCATTATAACATTCACATTCAAAAGAAACTTTTATACTTTCTTTACTTTTCACGATAGATTTTGGTCTCAGATATCAAAAAACATTTATGCAAACACTTAATCCACATTTACTAATTTTCATGACACATGATGGGTAAACGTTCAGACATGATTAGATGTACTCGTAATATATACGACGAGTTCGTTAAATGTCTTTGTGCTGAATCGATTTATTTCCCTTCAAGAGTATTGTCCTTTTAACAAAATGAACAATCCTTAGAAAGACCTTCCCTTTCAATTCTGCTTTGTAAAGACTTTAATTAAAAAATGATATCAACAAATTCATCAAAGTTTGTCTATTCTGAATAATTTAGATAAAAGTTTTAGATAAAAACAAATTGATATTTTAACATAGGATTTTTTATTCAGGAAATACTATCGAGTTTCTGGGGAAAAAAAAGTTTAAACTTTACAGCAACACATTATGAAAACTTGATGACTTAAAACACGGTAACGTCCTTCATTTATGTAACAATATTCTATTATTACAGAGTGTATCTGCATTACAAGGGCATATAAAATTTCTAAAGGAGGCAAGCTCATGACAAATAAGTTAATGATACGGAGAAATTTACTGTCTCGTTTTAAGTCAACATTTCACAAAATTGTAGGTCAATACAAATATCTTGTCAGCAAATGCAATTTTTCATGAAATCGAATGTTAGATCATGTTTTCATAACATTGTCAAGTCATTATTTTCACATCAAGATTTCTACTGATTTTCTCTTTTACTCAAGTTCAATGTCTGAAAATTGTTATCTTTCAGTAAGTTTTTGGGTTTTGATATACTACTGCAGTTCGAAATGTAAAAAAAATCATGTTATATTTATATCCTACAGATTTAAAATAAACAGCATAATTTTTCATGGTCAAATGATAAATGATATCAATAACTGTATCTTATGCTATATATAATACTTGGCATGACCCAGCACACATTTGATCATATTTATTCAAGCTTAACATTAAGAAAATTTAGAAATGAATGGTTTTATGTTCCAACGTTCTGGATGGACAAGAGCATTGTGAATTTTGTTTGTTTATTTTTTTAAAAAGAAAAATATGTTCTACCATAATAAATATAAAAAAACACGACAACTCTAATATATCATTACTGCTAGGTGAATTTGAATTTTAACGACGTCCACTAGGTAGATCTATGATATGAATAAGATAAAAGAAACGAATCCTACCACGATTAACTGCAAATATTTATATCTCCACGAAGAAAAACTCGATCCAGTCAATGAAAAATTATAAAACGTTACACAGATAACAAAAAAATATGGCCATTGAAGTGCGCGTTTTACATGAACACAATAGCCCTTTTTATAAGACACTTTTATTTTTTGAACATTGCAAATTGGAGTCTACATACTATTATTTATTTTTTTTAAAAAAAGAATATAATATTGATATCTATTTATTATTTTTTTTTATCAATATTTAAATCTGAAATTGTATACGATAAAACGTGAATTTCGCTGGATGAGAGCTTAATTATCCCAGGTTTTCAAATCTTCATAGTCCTATTGTACAAGCTGGATGTAATTTGACTCGTTATTTACCAGTTCTGTAATATTTTTGTCTGTAATGAAACCACAAAAATATAATATATTAGAATTTTTTTTGAAATCTGGATAAAAATTTACATTACATTGTAATTTATGTGAAATCATTCCTAATTTATTTCTATATGAAATCGTTACTAATTACGTAATAAATTATGTTGAAATCGTTCATTTCCAAGGAGAAAGTTTTAACTACCAGATCGTCATTAGGAGCTATCTCCATTTACAAACAATGAGGTAATCGGAGAAATATATGATTGTCAAGCGATTTTAAGGGATTTAAACTCTCCAACACCTAGTTCGTATCTACGGCGGAGGCAAGCAACAACGTGAGTGCCTGGAATTGGAAAATTAATAATAATGCAGTTTTTTAAATCGATACATGATTTAAACCCGTCGCCTGAAAGAAGTCCGAAGGCTGGCTTTATCCTAAGATTAACTCATTGTTAGTTTCACCCAGGTTAATATATTTTATATATGTGTATTAATATTAGCAGATTATAGATCAATACACGTTGTGACATATACGGACATATTTGTTTCAATGTTCGCATGGATTTAGATACGTAAGCCTTCTTTAGCTGTTTATGGAATTAAGAAGGAAAACTTTTTATAGATGTCATCTAATTAATGTGTAGAAAAACATTGAACTGGTGAAGTACAAAAATGGCTTGACTCATTAAAAAGTGCCGAGGAGTAGTTCTTAATAACTTGCTTTATTTTAGTTCGTGATTATTTTTTTTTTCCGTTACTTTCGTTCCTTTCATTTGTGGATTTGTAAACCATAAGCAGTTCGGAGGTGAAAGAGGAAAATGTTATCTAGCTTTTCCTGGACATCACTTGCAATTTGTCTCATCTTCGTAAGATTATCAGGTACGTTTAACAATTTAAAATCAAATTCAAAATTTTATTTTTAACTTCCTCATGTGATGCTTTATCAAAATATATTTTATGTGCTGGAAAGAGGACTAAAACCGTTTTTGACAAAATATTTATTCATGAAGTAAGTCGCATGATAAAACTCACTCAGCATATGTTTAGCACAAAGATGATTGGGATTTCTTTTCAAGCATTTGCATTGGAATTACAAAGCACTCAGAAAAAAATTAAGAAAGATCATACAAGTAGTAAACATCGATTTAGGGAGGAATATCATTCTCTCTCTTTCTCTGATGGGACACATATCTCTAAATATCTAACATAAAATCTTAACATCTTTTTATTTGTTAAGTGATATTAATCTCAAAAATTTATTAATCTTTAATCTAAACAAATGTGAATTATGCTCTTAACAAAACAACATGAGTAAAAAAAGCTTCAATATTATGTATAATTTATAGTATAACAGGGCTTAGGCGAACAAAGATTAAGACTCTGACAAAATCTTCTATTCAACCATTTTCCATTTAAAATTCGAAAACCCATGGTTGGGAAAAAGTCGCACATAAAAAACATGAAAAGACAAGATCAAAATGACAAGGCATGAAATGCATTGTCAATTACTCTATTATTTATTTAAATATGCCAGTGAAAATAAATTTCAAAATGAAAACCAAATTGTCACTAGAAATATGATTTTATAAAAGACGAAAAACAAGAAAGAAATAGTGTTTTCCTTCTATGAAATATGGAGTAAAGGGAATAGATTATTTGTCATTGTCTTTTATGTATTTTTATTAAAAGACAGAAATCAAACGTATTACAGCATTATTTATATATTGAATAACTTGCTTGAAACCTTAGCCCTCATTTTCAATTAAAGTTCTAAAGGATATACAGACAAAAAGATAACATGGTTCTTGGAATTTCATATGCTAATATCAGAAATCGATTCAGCATACCGATTGAGTATAAAACAATTAAATTCTGATCTCTGTCCACTCAAAGTCAATCTGAGTAATGCACAAGTTTATTTAACCATTGATTCAATTTAATGAACAAACATAATGAACCCAAGTAACAAAATGGGGATTGTTCAATTTGTAAAGCGTTAACTTAACATTGATGAAATTCTCGTGTTTTCAAGCAACTATAGAAAATCTACATCCTATTTGCTGCAAATATAAAAACGATCAACCCATGGTGCCTGGGATATTTAATTCCAACGTGTACAAAAAGCGTACATTGATTTTCCCTCAGCTTTATCTTTTATTGAAATTTTCTCTTGATTTTTCAATTGGAAGAGACACGCTTCATTATAGATTGACAAGATGTTCTGTTTTAAGGCAAGTATGTGACTTGCATGATGACGATGCTAAAATTAAGATATGTTTACCACGAAACTGGCATACTGACATGTCAAATGAAAAGTTTAATAGATTTGTTAAGTGTAATAATTAAGCGTTTGCAAATACTCACATTATGCTAAAGTGCTCTTTAGCTTTGCTGAATTTTAAAAAATGCACTGTTTCTATATATTTTTAAAATATATATAATAATGTAAGCTTTTGTCTTCGGTAAGTAGACGGGATTAGGATGTAATGCTATTTATGTGAAAATAAGACAAAATCTCAAAAGCTTCAGACTCATTATGTTGAAACTTGACACTTTTTATGCTATGTTTTATTAAAACGTAATTCTGCGTCGTAAAATACATAAAGTGCACATTTTCTCTTTTCAATTGTTTGTATTCATACTTTACAACTTAACAAAGAACTCCAGGGTTGCATGTTTAAGAAGCATACATTTTATCAAAGCTTTTCATTGTGCAATTTCTAAATCCATTTGTCATTTTATAATCATTATGCATTATGCACCTTAGTGGATTTTGAAAGTAGACTATTAAACAATGTGATTAAATGGACAAGGCAAACACACGCACAGTTCTTATGTACGATATAAGATTTTAAATCCCATACGAAACCGTCATGATGTCATTGAAAAATGAAAACAAAATGCAATCAAAAATGCACCTGGCCCCAGGATCATGAAACAGACTTAGACATGTTAAACCTAAGTCACATTTTCAATCACCTGTAAAATGTTTCTTAATTATTGATCTTAAATTTGCAAATAACAGCACTTTCATGAATCAAAATTGAAACACATTTCAATTTTGATCTGTTTGCCTTCTATAAAATTTAAAAAAAGCGTGAGAATTTTGACTTAAGCATAAGATGTTTCATGATCCCGGGGTCAGGACTATAATAATCAGAACTCTATTCTCTGTCATGAGAGGTAATTTTAAACCATTTTGTCTGAGGACAAAGTTAACTTAGCTAGCATTTTAAAACTTTGGTCTTTAAGAGTTGATCTTAAGACTGAATATTAATGTTTTACACACAATTGCAGAAAAGAGTTCTCTATCGAAAATAAGTAGAATCACTTATTTGAAGACTGTAATTTATTTTTCATTGAATTTTGATCTGCTCGTGAACTCTGAGTTAAATGACCAAGGACTTCTGACAAAATTGGCCATATTTTGTACACCAAATATTCATACATATAAATCAATTATATGTATATTAAAAGTTAAAAAACTTGCTTATTGCCTTATTTTGTATGCATGCCTTGAAGTATAAATTTTGGGCCATTTCTTGCGAAAGTAATGAAAATTGCATGGTTTTCTGGCAACTTATACAAGAATTCTGCTGTTATGAAATTTAAACTGAGAACCCCAGTTTTCCCTCCCCGATGATGAAAACAGTATACATGTATGAGTAATGCAAAAGATGAAGAAAACGAACAGTGATAAATATATAAAACACATTAAAAGAATACAAACATATCAAGAGGGCATAAAACACGAGTCCCTGCAAATTGCAGAGGTAGGATCAGGTGCCATGAGTTTTGTTGATTGAATAGAGTTCTTAATGTCCATAAGGAGGTTACATAATTATTATTGCCTTGTATTCAGTAGGTAGACGTTTCAAATCATTTTCTCTAAAAAAAAAAAACACCAAAAAACTTTTGATTAATTTCGATTTATCTAGTGACATTTGCAACATGACAACTGAAAAGACCAAACAGTTATATTCTAAAATATATGTATTGTAAGAAATTTTTTAAATCAAGAGATGCAGTTAACAATATGGAATTTAGAAAGAAAATAATCTGTGAAAATGTATTTCATTGTTTTCGAAGTGAATATGAAATTTTTAAAGAAAAGAAAATTTAAGCCATACGGCTATTATTGCTTTTGTAGCAGATTTTATAATTATGGCATGCAGTAATACTTCAGATGTAGTTTACACAAATTGACCCATTAAACTTTGGAGGTGGTCAGGTGAAGGGATTTAATTACCCTATATAATTTGCAATAAAGTTTAAATAGTACCACCCCGGCGATTTTAAAGATTCATAACAAAATAAAAAGGAAATGATGTGACACTCCTGCATTTTTAAAAGAACAATGTAAATTGAAATAGATTTGTTCCAAAAGTAAAGCAATTGACATTTTGGGTACATTGTGTTCTTGCAAATTCTAACTGCATTAAAGAATTCTTTTGAGAATGACAACATATTAAATAACCTCTGAAGTTAATAAGAGCTAACTAAAAATAATTTTTAACATTTACTGAAATTCACAATGCCTCTCATCTTCATGTTTTAGATAAAATATTCCAGTGGATTATTTTAATATAACACTAGGATGCAGCATTCCATAAAATCGTTTAGCTGATAGTATTTGATTGCAGAAAAACTCAAATTTTGTGGCAAGTAATTTAGACCTACAAAGGTCATTATAGATATATAATAAATATAAAAAAAATAAAGATACCTCTCTGCAAAGGCTGAAATAAATTTTTTTTTTAAAAAAGTGCTAAAGAGAGATTGAAAAAATTCCCTAATTGGGTTATTTTTAGTTTAATCATGAAATATGGAAATTACAGACGGTATTCAAGCTCACAAATTCATTCAAGCAATGCCAATAAAGAGCTGAGTAAAGTCTGACCTCTAAATCAGCAGGGATTGGATCAGGTGCCATGGAGGAGTAATTAAGTAAACCAAGCCGACTGGTCACAATATCCGTGTGCTCCTTGTCAGGAACAGGGGAAAATTCCGTAGACTTAATTAATATATACATGTAGATTGTATTTACTTACAAATCATTGTCGACCAAAGGATTTGCGAAATGATGACTGCTGATATTCTTGTTTCATCAAATTGATAGTCAAAAGCTTACCTTGTTCATGAAATTGTTCGTACTTAGAGTCATGCTCTTGCGCATCTTGTCAATTGAGAAAATATACTAGTACCCTATTTGAGGCGATCAGTGTATACTACCACATACATGTAAGTGAGGGAGGTTGACAAGTGAAAAAATGAAGTCATTACGTTTATCACGAAGTGTTATAGTTAGGTGACCATTTACGTTTTTTGTAGTAAAAAATCCAAATATGATGATTTGAAATAACTTTCTTGATTTCTTTTTTTTCAGAAAGCGCCTGCACATTTCCATCAGAGATAACGGGCGATTGGTACAGCGCTTATAAAGGAAAACTGTCATTCAATTCTACCCATTTAACGGGATATCCCATTTACATGTCAGCCGCCGTGCAATCATTAGATTTTGAGTGCTACATAAACAGTGATAGAAAATATCTGTTAAGGTATTTGTGAAAAATAGGTTTGCATTTTTATAAAGGAAGATTTAAATTATGTTTTACTATGAATCAAAAAATGAAAGATCACATAAAGAAAACACATTTAATGATTCCGACGATATTGGAATTTTTCAAGATCAAGTGCGCCATGATTACATAATGTTACTGCGAGCTAATATATGCAATATCATTGTATGATTAGGTTGGTGATAGCACATAATAATTAAAATGTGGATTTTGTGGGGTAGTTAAAATTGAATTTCTTAACTCCAACGCCAGTCGAAAAAAGACCATGAAATATTTTATATTCAACAAAATCCATGGTATTAATATTTCAAATTATACAATCCAATACTAAACACATTTAGCAAAACTTTGCACATTATTTATTACTATGGTTAAATTCACATCCTATAGTTTAATAGGTTTAATAATTTGACATGAAAATAAATGGGATTAAAAATAATCGATAATTAGTTGTCCAGTGTAGTATGAAGCATCAATTGTAAAAGATTTGTGAATTTTCAAGAATTTAAAAAAAAAAATGAATAATTGCAGATAAGGTTATCTTATCTCATTTTTAAAATCCTTATTTTAGAGCAACAGAGACAGCCCTTGTGTTTGGTCAATACATTCGTGGTTATTTATGTGTAGAACTATGGAGAGTTTCCAGTACAAAGTATTACTATTACCACGGAACAAGTAAGTAAAACAAACTCAGTATCATATACGGTTCATGAATGAGCATGATTATATTTCAGCTGGTATCAAAAAATCAAGGTAATAGTTTCTATGACTTTTTTTGTTGAGTTTACAATAAAACATGACTTGGCAACGTAAGTCATAGACTTGAAATTCAATTTCCTTTTATCTTAAGTTTATAATCACAATTTAACTAATCAATATTTTCTAAAAAGCCATCAGTTTGACCAATAATGACAATATATTTGGTCGTGTGGATGCCGTGACGGTAGACCTTACAAGCGCTTGTAATGAAGTTGAGCCCTACAGTACTGGAAAATTTATTACATTAGTCAAGGACGGTATGGAACTCCTTGCCTTACACCTGAAACTAATTTTATCTCGCAACTACACCGTTTGATAAATAATGTCCCGTTTCTTAAATGCAGAGTTTGTTTATGACACTAAACAATGATTACCACGTATTAAAAGGATACTGAAATGTTTTTACTAATGTTCATACACTTTGAATCATCTTGTATGTCATATGAGTTTTTAATCAGCGATATCAATTTCACTCACACCTACATTATATAAGTGATAAAAAGATAAATACCGAGCATTTCTTCATTGCTATGTTTCAAAGAAAATTTTGAGTCCTTAATTGGTATTCCAAGACGTGATTTTCCAGAACTTAACGTCGATCGAAACTTTAGAAGAAGAATACTGAGAGGTTACTTTCAGGCATCAAAACGCTTTTAAATGGGTCTAACGAACTTAGAAAAAAAAAACTTTGTAGGAGAATACTAAAACATGTTTTTCAGGCGCAATAAATCTTTAAAGGTTTAATGATTTTTATTGTCATTTAGCAATATCTCCTACCAACAACGACCACGTTAAAGGAGTTATTGATATTCTTAAAAATGGAACGTTAGCGGAGACTTGTGATATAGCAGAACCGTACAACACGACATCATTTGTAATGCTTGTCAAAGATGGTAAACATCGGCAAATATACATAGTTTTTGCGTATTATTTTGTGTTGTGAAGAATTTGTTTTCTCTATACAAAATATCTATTGTTGTCCCCTTATAATCTGCTGTTATCTGGCAATTTTTACCTCTTTTCCTACCTTTAGCTCAATTTGATTATTTTGAATCTCCAAACACGTTTTTGGTATAGTTGAAAAATTGCACGTGGGCATTTGAGCACTTTATACACTGCATTTGTCATATTATTTTCATGTATGTGATACCTTTTTTGATAAAGCCTGCACAATGTGATTTTTGCATCATTTTCTTCTTGTTTTGTTCACGGCTCTTGATTTTGTTTTTATGTGCTAGATATTTGTCAGCATTCACTTTGAGCGAAAAGCACATGCACAATTAATCAAATGCAGATCCAAAGGTGAGAGAATGTTATTTGAATATTCCATTATATGTTTAAAGAAATTATCAATTTACTCCTCAAAATTGAATTAAATATGTAACTTTTATCATGCAAGTGCAATAAAGAATAGAATTTAGATTTACTGCGGTAAATAAAAAAATAATAAATCTGCGTCTGTCACAGTAATAATAAATTTAATGCATGAATTAATTGAACAAACAGTCATAACTTGTGATAACGATAAAAGCAAAAATCCAAAAAGTGTTTTTGGTCGAATTATAATATTACTTGTCAGAAGCATTATCCAGCAAATAACTTATGAATACTAATTGGCATTAAAATAAGATTTATGTTAAAACTTCAGTGTACCTTTCTTACATTAGGTACAATTACGACGGGAGCCTCAGAGGCTACGTGTGCGACTGATCTGTTGGCTTCATATAGCTCTGTTTCAATAACCGACTCTACCGGAAGTACGTCATGTTCCAGTAACACAATGGATGGCTGTACCGACAGGACAGAGATGAGGTTCACGTATGACGGTGGATGTGGAAACACACATAAATTTTCAAGTAAAATCAATTTTACATCTTTTAAGGTCTATATTATTAGATTTATTTCGAATATGTCCTGAGAGACAATATTTTACTACTTACGTCATACAAATTACTCTATACATATTAAAATGGAGAAAAATATATTATACTACAATATTAACCAAAATTTTTCAGTTTAATATATTCAAAAACAAAATTTTCTTTCTTTTATCTGTGTGTTGGGTCGATTCATTGAACCTGGTAGTATTAGAAATGGATGTTAAAGGATCTTTTTTATTTGAATTATTATTGAAGAAGTAAATTATTGTCATATTGTAGCTGGTGGTTTCTGGACCTGCATGCATAGTATAAGTAGCGGAGGAAGCACCTACCTCTCGCTCTGGAACAATGATAGTACAGTTGTTGGGACCACGTCCTACGCATACACGTCTGGAGTAAACTACCAGTTTGCCTGTTTAGTAAGTATCACGAGTCATATAATTACAACCAAAACAAAAAGTTAGTCTAATTTCAATTTCTTTATTCGTCTGTTGATACATAGGTTTACCGTTTTGATAGTCTTATTTAAAGCAAGTTAGTCCTTTCCTGTTCTGATATGCATGGGTATATTGTTTTGCAGGTTATCAGTGGTGTGTCCGCCTCCATGTTCCCAAACTATTGCTCAGACAGTACACAGACAGCATCCACAGTGTCATCTCCAGGTCTGACAATGTCATTTACAGGAGCTACTCAGACTTGTTGTAAGTAATTTACATTACCTTTGCATGCTGTTACTCTTAAAATAGTTCCTCTTTGTATCATACGTGTATAATAATACTAAGCAACATATATTGGCGCTGCTTTTATTATTTATAAGAATGCATTAAGATAATAAACCATAGTAATGTAAGTGATTTTTATTTCAAGAAACAAAGAACATCTCCAGCAGGAGAATGTCTATAATGCTTTAGATCTTACTTTCAGATGATGAAGTAGAAGGTGGATCAAGTGCTGTGTACTACATCACAATAGTATTAGGTGCCTTATTTATCATAGCCTTAATTATATTGATTATTATTCTGAAAAAGAAAGGCTATTGTTCTCTTGACAAATGCAAAAAGCAGCGACCCAGTTCACCAGAAAGCAGTGTGGAGCAGGGAGAACACGTGACTAACACAGTGTTCAGAATGAACAAATTAGATCCAATCCCAGGATTCAAAGCAAAGAGGCCACTTCGAATTGGGCCAATTGTGGAGCCTAATCTCGACATCCTTCCAAAGGTGGAGCCCCTGTATGCGTTGTCAGACAAGAAGGACACCAGTAAACCTGCAAGACGAGGTTCGCTATCCAGTCTATTCACTTGTGATGTTTCTGCATTTTTAATTGATAGACATATTCCTCCACCTGAAACTGTTAAACGTAAAACATAAAGTCTTATCTGTTGTTCACTTTACATACGTTGAATATTTTTAAAATGTTAAAGAATAACTATATTTGGAGCTTATTGCATTAATTATATATAATACTAATTTTGTGGATACTGTGTTTTTACTGTGCCATGCCTATCACTGTACTAACTTTTTTCTAACATGTGTGAATATGTAGTGTTATAGAGGATCAATCATCAACTGTCTTTCTATGTATAATATACAATACTAGACATCAACTGATTGCCTAAATGTATGTATTCCATTTTCCATTTTAATCATCTCATTCACAGTACGTAACAATGCAATAACTACATTTTTATTTATGAATTATTTAATGAATAAGATAAATATGCAATAGTGAGTATTCATGTGAGAGAGAGAGAAGGAAAAAGAGAAAGAAAGAGTACTATATAATTTTAATATATTCTTTTAATTTATTATTATTGAGTTACACCTCTTTGTCCTATTTCAAAAGCATTTCCTTGATTTGGATATTTAGTATGTGTATTCCTTTAAACACATTGTCCTTTAAGTTTCCAATAATTTTCAACGAGGAAAGTCATGCCGATTCCTTCCAAACCATTCTACCTTCTTCGACCCAAAGATGCCACACTATAGCTCAAATGATCCATTCCTATCTAATGTAATACAAATTAATAAAATACGTCTCAAACTTTGGTATTGTAGGACTAAGGGAAATCCATCGTTCAGAAGACCGCTTTCTTTACCATTCATACGATCAGTTATATCGTTCATTTGAGAAACTATACAGTTCAGCGGAGTCTGTCTATTATAACGGAGTCGTCTGTGAAAGTCCTAATTACGCAAACTGTGCTTCCGCGATAAGAGAGAGTCCCATTAACGAAGAATCGAAATAAATGAGCTGTACAAATTCAAGCTGAAATTGACTTTAATTTAAACGACCATATCTGTCAAATCATTTTGTGTATATATAACACGTTTTGTTTCTATTTATTTGTTTAAATATGTTTTTATTCGTTGTTTTCGTTGTTGTAGAGTATATAGCTATTATACACTCTCTTAGTGGGTATATGCTTTCCCCGGACTGACTGTGTTGAGTTTGACAATTTAGAATACATTTAGTTATGAGCTGTGTGGTGTGTCAAGGAGTTTCGTTTTATGCTTTGATCAAATGATTCACGGGTCATTTAATTAAGCTAATTAACTGTGATATAAAGAATTGTGATAAAAAATGTGATACATGTTTTAAACTATGTTGTGATAAATGCAATAAAGTTTGTTCTCAAAAACTAACACGATTGTTTGTGTCGATGATTAACACCACATGCTTACAGCTTATTTAGTTTCACGTCACTTGATTAGAACTGTAGAAGTCAGAATCTTCTGACCACGCTGTCATAGCAATAGTTCACAGCACACATAGTAACTGGAGCACCTCTCTGCACGGTGAGTTAAATTCTGATCTTCTTTTAACTAATCAATGTCATCAACAACAATTCGCGCATGCGCAATGAATTAAAAGATTTATTTTCCATTTGCAGACGATGATACAATATCTGTGGACAGCGTAGATGAGGACAATCCATTTAATTTCTACAATATCGCTAAGTTCGTGCTTCTTCCCAAAATTGTCTCCAAGAAGAGTTTTGATGTTGGAGCTCTTGCAGATCCGAAACGAAACACACTTCACGATATCTTAGAGATAAAGAAATCAAAACTTAAAAGAGAAAGCAAGGCTTCCGAGGAGCAGGAGAAAAAAGAGGACAAAAAGGAGGAAAAAGACAAAGAGAAGGACAAGGAAAAGGACAAGGAAAAGGAGAAAGACAAGAAAAAGACAACAGGAAAACCAAAGCTTGAAAAACAAAGTTCGAAAGAACCTGGGAATAAAAATCGTAAAATGTCTAAAAAGTGAACAAATGTTCATATGCATAGTATGAATTAGATGTATAAATGGCAAAATGTGTAATCCAAGACATTGTTTTGGTTTTTGAATGAATGACTACTTGAGATGTTAAATATGGTTAATTTGTTAATGTTTTAGGGGAATGTTGTTATTTTATTATTTTTAACTTTAATAAGACACATTGGTGCAATTGTATATATAATATTAATTATGCTGAAGGATATATCACACGGTATCAACTTCAGTTTCCCTTTGCGAATCATCTGATATATGAATCATCTGTACAAAATTTCAATTCCAATTCACTTTGTGTTCGTCTTTTCTTTTTTTGTATTTTTATTGCTTGTAATATATACATGAGTTCAGATTTACAATGTATTTACGATTTGGATGGTTTAAGTTTTACAATTTTGCCTAAAATAGATACCTTATTCCAAAGGGGAGAGGGGTCTGGGAATATTCAATGCTTATGTGTGTACTCAATATTTCAGGACATGTGGGAGTAACATATACAATCGCATTGAACAATTTTTTGTCCGTTTTAAAAGGGTCAGATTAAAACAAATAGGCGAAATGGTCTCTAGATGGCTTCAATGAGACCTTCAGTATTTCCTTTTTTTATCTTTCGAACTTATGATCTTATATGTCACCAACACAAAAAAAAAACATATTTGCCAGAATTTGGAATTATATATGGATGATTTTTTGGCAAACGTTCACGTTCTCTCTGATGTAATCCAAGTAATGCAACTAAAGTTTTCTTTTCTGGTTGATGGTACTATGTACGATTATCAAGGCCAATCCCCTTTGTCAAACTACATGGAACCTCAAGGTTAAAAGATTCTAAATTTGGAATTTTAATAAACTTATTTTGATACACTGTTAAAGTCAGGGACTGTCAAAATCGTCTGGTCAAAATACAAATTGTAACTTGAAAGGTATTTTGAACGCAAATCTATATGTTCTTTAAGAAATAAGAAAAGGTGTTCCGATAAAGTGTAATATATTTTGGAGACTTCGAAAGAATTCTCTCAGAACGTCTATCTATTTATTTGTACTCATAAAAGGATGGCTTATTTTTCGTCTATGTGAAGAAGTTTCTGACAAGAATTTTCAGATGGACCCTTTTTGCTCTTCATGGAGCCGATTGTTTGTTACATTGTTGTTTTTATGAAGCTAATTTACCTTTCATATGAAATGAATGAATATAATAAAGTTGGCGACTTCATTTTTTTGTTATATATATATTTTTAATTTAAACAATATTTTATTATGAATAAACATAATTGGATTGGACAGCAGGCACTGCCTATATAAGTCCTTTCCACGATACAAGATCAAGTCATACATGTAGAAGTAAATATTATTAATATAACATTGAAAAATATAAATATATACATGCATATATTCAGTAGAAATGCGTATGACAAGGCAAATTAAGGAGAATAAAAAAAGAGAAATATATGAGCTGATGATATAATTTAGATTTATTATATTTTGACCAAGGAACATTTCAAGCAGAAAGCATTTGTAAGATATTTAGTAAAGTAAATATCATATACAATAATGATATAATTTAAATTTGTTATATTTTGACCAAGGAACATTTCAAGCAGAAAGCATTTGTAAGATATTTAGTAAGGTAAATACCATATACAAAGAAGAAAATGCTTCTTTCTTCTCCTTCAACAATTTATTTTAAAAAGTTTCATATTATACTCAATGTTGCACTGTTCTAAATACTAGAAGCGGTGTAATTAAGTCACCTTTGGAGTACGTTATATGTTGTTCAAGTAAGCTGCCCTGGGGAGCTGTTAAAAAGTCTGCTTTTATATTTTGCTGATTGTATCACGACCCTTTCGAGAATTTTTAATTTGAGCCACAACTACATGCTGGTAGAGTGCTGCAAATTTATTGGCATCCAGATACATTGAGTATTGATGGATCTTTTTCGTGTTCGCGCGTACTGCATCAGGTTATATCTCTTTCTAGGTTTCTAGGACAATTAATCGTCCGAAGGACTACACTCCATTTTCCGATATAGGATTCGAACCTGAGACGTAAGGACTCCTTACACCAAGACTCTTGACCAAACGCTCTAACCACAGCGCCAAGCGGGCGATTACGTCTGCTCTTAAATATTCAAACTGAATGAGTAAATTCTTTAAATTCATGCATTCTAAAAATACTTTACAGATTAAATGTAAGCAATGAGATCTGATTCAAGTAAACAAATTTAAATAATAGAAAAATATGTTTAAAATTGTAAGCTGAATACATAATAAACATATGGAAAATAACCTACATAACCAAGTTAAACTTATTTAAAAATAATCTACATGCCATTATATAATGTTCGTGGCTATTAATTGATTTCATTAAAGCGGAGTCTACGTTCATTTTTAAGTTACAAAAAAAATTGAAAACATCTCTCTTTTTCAATTGTTTCATCATTGATTCACATTTTTAGTTTATATATTCAAAAGCAATACCAGGGATGACATAATGCTAGTCATCTTTAGACTGCAAATGGTACGACACTATCAAACGGAAAAGAATCATTATTTATACTGACAATTTTTATTATAAAGGAGAAATCAAAATGTCTGAAATGTAAAAACATGTAAATATTTGTAGGTAGAAATATCAACAAACAAGTTATACAAGTAAACATCTTTTTTGCACTGTACAGATATATCTACCCTATTTTTTTTTCAACCTTGTAAGAAACAAAATTTTGACATTTTGAATATTGAATCGTATTCGATCAACTTAAAACATGCCTTAATACACAGTGTAGTTTACTTAATTCTGGTTATCTTAATCCGCTCAATTATTGCTAGAGACTGTGTTTACCTTTAAAAGATTAAATTCCTTTAACGTAACAATTAAGCACACTAAAACATTCATCATGCCAAAATAATGGTAAGTTTTCTTAGTTTCCTTAGATCTCAGAACGATTCGTCTTTTGATTGATTGTCTGCTTTTCATAATTTAATGTATTATATTCCAGTATGATGGATAGAACTTTCAATAAATGTATTTGAATTACTTCCAGGGGGATTAAATAGTTTCTGCAGTGCATTAATTGCACAGATCAGTATTCTTCCTTAAACTGGGAAATGTTGTTGGATGTAGCTCGGGAAAGGTTGGCATCAGAGAGACCATGGGCAACTCACAAACAAGACTTCCGAATTCCGGAATAATTCAGTCTACTCGATCAACAGCATACTCAAGCTCCATAGGTAAGTCAGAAAAATTAAAAAAAATCGATTTACTAAAAGTTGGATGACATTTTTCGTCTTTTACTGATACAAAGACCTGAAAAATATACCATTCTGTATAGTAGAACTTATTGACTTATTGATACTTTGTAAGAAAGAAGTTTCTTTTCTGCACTGAATGTGTTTTCCATGAAACGGAACATCATCTTCATTGTACGATGTACCAAAAGGCAATGCATTCAAAATTGACAAGGGTGTTATATTGCATCTAGATTTTCCGTTAAACGGAACATCATCTTCATTGTACGATGTACCAAAAGGCAATGCATTCAAAATTGACGAGGGTGTTATATTGCATCTAGATTTACCTCTAATATTCCAAATAATTAACATTTGGGGTGCAAAATTGTATTCAAAATCAATATTAAATATTGTCAAGGGAAAAGTAATTATTTGATCTATCTGATGATTTAATTTATTTTGTTCAAACAAAAAATAGTGAGAGAGACAGAAAAAAACTTTACATTGTTGACTGAAGTGGTGGACATTTCATTCAAATGATGAAAAATTAAATTTGCAGTAAGCTTAAATTTTACAATTCACTTCAATTGTTCCACCTGACATGTAGCCTACAATGTAAGATTTCCATTTTATTTATTAGCATTATTCAGATCTGAATTGCCTATTATGTTAGAAAAATCTGTCCGTTAGACGCAAAAAACTGACAGATCCATTATTTTATTTTTAAATGAATAAATCAGATATCGAATTGAAAATGTGTTTCAATAGCTTTTTTTCTGTCGCGCGTTTGAAAATAAATGAACATTTTTTCCAGCAACTTTTACAGTTTGTTCTCAGTGGATCTAGGAAAACTGTATATATTTTGTAAACATTATTCCATTGCAGATTATGACACGGTTTCTCTAGATAGTGACAGTGACACAGATTTGCCTTTCCGGTTCAGTTTCACTCGATTGTCCAATCTCCCACCTTTACCCGGTGTTCATCCTCTAGACTATAAAGCCTACTTACAAGCACCAAGTACATCTACGGTCAGCACAAAGCAATCTCAACGCACCATCAAATATGGACGACAGACAACTTTTCATTTGCCATTAATTTCAAACCATGTTTCTGGTTATCAGCAAATGCATCCCGGAGGTATTGTTACAGTGAAGGAAAAACCTAAGGAAAAGAAAAATTCTAAGAATGGAAGGAAAAAGAAGAAAGGAACCAAGAAGAAACGGAAAGGTTTTCAAAAACGTTAGAAGTCTGTACGTTGGATTTTTCAATTTGATAAATAAATGTAATATCGACTCAATGCTTTGAATTTGAATTTATTTCAGTGGTATTTTTAAAAATAATATCTACATGTATGCAGTAGATACTGAAAGACCAACAAAAGTTCATTCTAACTAAAGAAACGTGTATAAGGACCAATCGTCTATTTTATAGACATTTGATGTATGAAAAGTACAACTTGATATACATAATAATATAATCATATAAATAAGTAAATAGTTACTGTTGTTTCTGTAGGTGCAAAAGTTATCAAAATTGAATTAATTAACGATGAAATCAACTGTAAAATGGCATGTTCAAATATTTTTTAAAATCAAAATTACCTTATAGTTTGCAACATATTATAACTTTCAAATTCAAAGTGATTAAAATGAAATCGAAATTTATACTAATATTTTTGTGTTTCTAAAGTATCCGTAGAATTAGCTGCAATGTCGGAGAAAGTAGCTTTCTCGGTTTGTTGAGGAGGCTTCTTTGTGAAGAAATCCCACATTTGTTTTCGAAAGAATTTGATGATGATAACAATAAAACCGATGATTATGATGATGCAGACAACAATGGCAAAATAGATGGCCCAATTTGTGGAACTCTTTATCTTTTTGGGGGAGTTTGCATGTCCCGTTCCCCTATTAGGTGGAGGGGCTGCAAAACAAAATTATTTATATCTATTAGTAAATATATTAGATAAGCCAATCTGTATCTACAATGTACTTATAATAAAATAATTATACATATAAGATCGAATTTTAATTCTTTTTTTTAGAATTTCAACTAGGTCTTTAGTTTGACGTGGTATTTTGACAAATGATAATTTTAAAATGACCGCTTCTATGCAACCCTCCATTTGACACAAGAAATGACGGAGAAAAAAATTTATTTTGTAAGGTATATTTACCTGGTGTGGTTGGTCGACAAATTTCTGAAAAAGACGTAGAATTAAAAGTAATTCATCAATAATAAAAAATACTTTTATATAAATTTCTATTGATACAACATAACATTTATTCAAAATAAAATTGATCTTCACCATGAATTTCTTTTGACTTCAGGGTGAGAAATTCTGTATTCTTTGAGGCATCTGTGCATGTATCATTAAATAACCGAAAAGTTGCAGAGGATTCGTTATGGGTGATTTCCTATAATGAAAACTAACTCATTAAATTAAAATATTTTAATCTAATTAATTTCAGACAAATCGGCTGCATTTATTTTGTTAGACTTAAAACATTATTTTGAGATGGAATTTAAAGTAAAAAATATATACTAGTATACAAAAAAACGTGCATCTATACGTTATTTTACTTATTTTTGAGTTTGGTAATCACAACCAAAAACTTCTGATTTATAATTAATCTTGAAAACAAATTATTTATATTTCATACTCACAATACAAATAAATCCATGGTCTCTTTTTGATATAGAGGCAGTATCAGCTGTCCACGTATACAAATATGTGACGTCATTTTCCGTTTCATGAAACAGACAATTCACAGAAAGGTTATCTGAAAATGTTTAACAAAAACAACAAAATATTAGTAGCCGGTAATATTAATTATCATTACTGGGATTGGTACCATATAATTAGATTTAAAAAAATGTGTATAAAGAAGATGAAGTTAACAAACATCATTGATCTAAAAAAAAATAAATCTATGAATAATATTTGTACATAAACACACCCCTCCCCCTGAAAATTAATAGGTGGGATCATGTGCCAAGGAGGAGTAAGCATCGATCTCCGTTTACCGACTATACTCGCAGTAAGCCCTATGTTTCGAGCAAGTTGACGAAACCTTCCAAAGTCAAATTTGGTGTAAAAAAGGCCTATTACTTGAAATTAGCATGAATCGGTTCAGGTGTCAAGAAAAGAGATATTTCATGCAAAAATATTTTGAAGTATGTCCTCTGTACCTGGTATATGGATACTGGAATGGCAAGATGGACTTGTGATAGTGAGCTGCGTGTTCTTCAGACAACCGTTGACACTACCATTTACACAAACGTTTTCCATACCATTTTCTTCGGAGTTAAGGTTTACGAAGGATTTCCGCAAAAAGTTGGGACATTCGATACTTACTATATCTGCAGTTGAAACTATTAAAAGAAAACAATTGTATTTTTTTGTCTTAAAATTTATAAAATATTTTAATGCTATTAATATTTTTGTTACATTAATGTCGAACCCTGTAATGTGCAATTTTTGTGACAGGGTCTATTTCAGTACTTCGTGGCTAAAGTACTTTCTAGATTTTTAAAAAATAATTTTCTTTTATTTTACATTTTGTTAAATCGTATCTTAAAACTATAATGGCGGTGAAATATTCTTCAATATTAAGTAACTTAAAAACAAAGTTAACATTTCTTACCATTTTTAATTAAGCTATACATGTTGTCGGTTGTCTTGGGAAGACTGCACACAACATCCATAGATACGTTTACAGGATTTGAATAAGCATACACATTCTCCTTAACTGTGGAGTCTAGGGGTGTCTCAACATAATAAATATAATTGTCAGATCTCACTCGTTCAAAACTAAGGCAAACAAACACGCTGACTTCCATAGAAAACACGTTGATATCTCTCGAAGATCTATAGCAAGAAAAAAAATCATATCATGTTTTTAAAACAGATAGTAATCGTTGCTGCTGTAGATGTCAAAAGAATATCAAAAATCATATAAAAATTCGAATAACAACTTATATGTAGTACTGAAAACCTTGCATAAGCATTTGATTAATTTGATTTACATGAATATATTTACAGATATCTCATAGGTCACAACATTATTCCATGAAAATAAAGAAAGATATGAAAAGGGAAAAATATAATTACTTGAGAAGATAGTATGTTCCATTATTTTCTGAACAGAGGAAGTCAACTGACGTCACTCCTGGTAAAATGACGGGGTAATCATAAATAACAGACTCGCCGAATCTGAGGAATCCCTTGTCAGAACTGATCCACGCTCCTCGTTAATATCCGCCGGGAACTGACATGACGATGCAGAAATCGCTAGAAAAATAATTCATTGGAACATTTTACGGCACTGTGAGTGATTGATTTTGCAGACTCTTTAAACAAACAACATTGATTCCGATTTGTGTCAATATCAATTATCCTTTACAATGCTCCACAACTGGTTTCATTGTAATATAAGGAATGTTTAAATATATTCTAATAGCCATACACATGGACACCAATATTTACAATTCCACTATTTTAAATAGAAATTAAAATTAAACGTACTTTTCAAAATCGATAAACCTGAAGGTTTTTCTCACAAAATACATGTAGTTCTAGCAGAAACTTAAAATAATTTTTTGTGGAGTTCCTGAGAGAGAGAGAGAGAGAGAGAGAGAGAGAGAGAGAGAGTTACCTGTAATATTTACGAAAGCAAGCAAGAAAATAAACCACTTCATTCTATTCTGCATTTTCTTTCAGTGATCCTGGGATAAGGAGTATTGATTTCCCTGGTTTATTACATTATGCATGAATTGGGCGACCTTTAAAATGAAAAAAGTCTATGAATTCATACTCTTTTAAGATAACAGAAACCTATACCTGATTGGTAAGGCAACTCAAGGCACAATTAACAATAGGTAGCGAATATAACTACTAAAATATCTAGAAAAAAATTACTCATTATATTAACCGAAGTAATCTCGATAAACACACTTTCCTTTGTTCAACAATGTGTTGTGACATAAACCAATATTAAAAGAATATTTACCTTCATAAATTCTGAAAATATGCATCACAAATCCATGGTTTAGT